AAGATTTCATAGTGGAATTTGGACATATGCATAAAAAAAAAGATATTAGATTACTATCTTTATATGTTAAATAATATTTATAATAGCATATAATATGGTTTACAAACTTAAGTATGGAATTTATACAAGATAAGGATTATTTTTATTATTTTTTTAACGGTTAGTAGCAATTGAATATAATAATTAATATATATATTTTTTCGACTTTATACTTATATTATCAACCTTTGCTAAATTTTTTGTTATTATGCATTTCATTTTACATGTCGTCGTCGTCTCACATGCCAAAGTTTATATTTTTGCTTGTGCAAGGATTTAGACAATATGATTGTTACTTTTGAGTATTTTGAATGTTCCGAACATAACGAAGAAATTCATTTTGCAAACAGATGACGTTTGGGCAATATTGAGTATGTCCATAGTCCATCGATTTCGATCGCTTTCGTTCAATTTGATCGCGCGGGATCTCTCTTTGGTTAAATTCGATGCTCTAAACTCATCGACAAAGCTTGTTTAACAAGCGGAGGCCATTTGGATAGTGTTTTGCTAGCGTCACATCCACTAACATATTATCGTTCGATCGAGTCACATACGAACAACTTGCATTTGGTGTATTTGATGTCCTGAAGGCATTGATATGATCCATTTTGTAATCAGATAAAGCTTTAATCAATTCACTATGATAGAGGCACTCCGATCTTCGTTCTAAACGATATTTTATTTACCAAATATAATAGATCATCGCCTTAATTACTTTCATTTACTGTGCTACATATGTAGAGGTCAACAATCAAAAAGTACTTTTCTTAGAAGATGATATTCAACAAAGGTGGATGAGATATTTTGCTTAACTTTTTAATGAAGAATGCGATAATACGATTGACTTTTGTGACCTTAGCACCCTAAATGAAAATAAAGATTTCTGTTTTTATCGGCGTATTAGTAAAACCAAAGTTAGAGAGGTTGTAAAGAAAATGAAAGGGGAAAAAGCTTTTGGACCTGATGATATTCCATTAGAGGTGTGGAAATGCTTAGGAGATGAAGGAATTTTTTGGCTTACTAAACTTTTTAAAATTGTTTTGAAGACTAAAAAGATGTCAGATGATTGGAGAATGAGTGTGTTAATTCCTATTTTTAAGAATAAAGGTGATCAACAAGATTGTGCGAATTATAGAGGAATTAAGTTAATGTGTCATACTTTAAAACTATGGGAGCGAGTTATGGAGCGTAAGTTGCGGTTTGATACTAATGTTTCTCAAAATCAATTTGGATTCATGCCGGGTAGGTTTACTATGGAAGCCATACATTTATTAAGAGATTTAATTGAGAAATATAGAGAGAATAAGGAGGATCTACATATGATATTTATTTCTTTAGAGAAAGCATATGATAAAGTTCCAAGATAAGTGCTATGGAGCGTTCTTGAAAAGAAATGAATTAATAACTTATATTCAAACCATTAGAGATATGTATGCAGGAGCTATTACTTATGTTCAAACACAAGGTGGTTTGAGTAAGTATTTTCCTATTTCAGTTGGATTACATCAAGGATTAGCCTTAAGCCCTTATCTATTTGCTTTAGTCATGGATGTTCTCACTAGACTTTTGCAAGAGGATGTACCTTGGTGTATGCTTTTTGCTGATGATATTCATCTTGTTGATAAGACTAGAGAGGGAGTTGAAGGTAAACTTGAATTATGGAGGAGAACCTTAGAGTTTAAAGGTTTTCGCTTGAGTAGATCTAAAACGGAATATATGGAATGTAATTTTAGTAGTAATAGATCTAGTGAGGGGATTGTGACTTTGGGCGATCAAGTCATTAATAAGAGTACACGTTTTAGATATCTTAAATCTATTGTTCAGAGTGATGGCGAAATAGATAGTGATATTATTAGCAGAATTCAAGTTGGATGGTTGAAGTGGAGGAATGCATCGGGCTTATTGTGTGATAGAAATGTCCCCCTCAAACTTAAGGGAAAATTCTATAAGATGGTGGTGAGACCTGCAATGCTTTATGGTGTCGAATGTTGGCCATTAAAAGAGAAGCATAATATTAAGTAAAGTGTTGCTGAGATGAGAATGCTCAGGTGGATGAGTGGTTTTACCCTTAGAGATAGGATTTGAAATGAACATATACGCGATAATGTTGGAGTAGCTTCAGTAGAAGATAAAATTAGAGAGAGTCGCCTTAGATGGTTTGGTCATATAGAACAGCAGCCTTCCCATGATCTGGTTAGAAAAGTAGAGGTATTAGATTTGACTTATGTTTAGAAAGGTAGAGGTAGACCTAAAAACGACTTGGTTAGAAAATATTAGAAATGATCTGTCTTTATTAGATATAAACGAGAATTTAACTTTTAACAGTACACAATAGAGAAAAAGGATTCTTGTAGCCGACCCCACGTAGTGGGACAAAGGCTTGATGTTGTTATTGTTGTTGTCTTTTTTATTTTATTTTCTTTTTTGATATATGTAACTGAAGAGAGAGAGGGCTTGAGAGAGATTTTGTATTTGCTTCTTATAGAGTGAGAGAGATGATAAAGAAAGAAAGTGAGGGCGAAAGAGAGAAAAAAATCTCACTCTATATATTTTTTAGAGAGAGAGAAAGCTGGAGTTGGGTTGGGCTGGCCAAGGAAGCTGGATGTGGTTGTTTGGACTGAGAGGAGTTGGTTGTGTGAGGATGTGAGTAGGAGAGGAGGGGCTTGTTGGCGTAGGTTAAGGTACCTGAGGAGGACGATTGCAATCGGGTTATTTGTCGGCAGGTTTAGGAGAGGAAATGGAGTAGGGTGGCTAGGGTAGTGGTGTGTGTAGGTAGACGGGTTGTGCAACATGTAAGAGGAAGAATATTGGAGTTTGTCAGAGGAAGTGATGGGCTTATAAGTTTCACAATGGTTGGGTGACAAGATAGTTTGACGAGGCTTGTGGGTTAGGGAGCTAGGACAGGCGAGAGGTGGATTGGTATTGGGAGCAACGACTGTAAGAAGTGGTTTATTGTTGGGTTTATTGGCTAGGAGGTGGGAGAGATGGGGCCACTTTTGGGATGGTCGAACGATGGGGAGGCTGCTCGGACGGTCTGACGATGCAAGGGATTGAGAGGTGGGAACAGTTCAAAGCTAGGGGAGTAGGTGGGATTCAGTATGAGATGCGGAGTGAGAGGTAGAGGATTGGGTTGGTCGATGGGCTTGTGCGATTGGAGTCGAAGGGGGGGTTTCATGGCAGCTCTGTAGGGTGTTAGGTTGAATGGGCTGCTGTAAAGAGGCGGTTTTGTGAGGTCGGGATTAGGTTTTGGGTGCAACTGTGTGCGTGAGGTGTCAAGAGTGGAGATGAGGAGGAGCTCGGTTGTGATGGGTTGTACGAGCTGAGAGAGTGGCTGTGCGATGTGGAGTTGGGTGGAGAATGAAGCTGTGACTTAGGGAGGTTTGGGTATGTGGGAATGGGAAAGGAGCATAAAGGGGGAAGAGCACGTGTGTCGTAGTAGACTGCTCAAGGAAGAGCACGTGTGTCGTAGTAGACTGCTCAAATAGGAGTGGGGGGCAATAGATAGATTAGGATATTTTTTTTTATTCTAGTTAGGTACTATTTTAGGATGAGACAGAGATAAGGAGAAGTGCAGCCCTACTTGTAGGAATTTAGTAGGATGAGGGGATAGGCAGTAGGGTAAATTAGGATGATATGTTTTTTTTTTTTTTTATTATATATATTCTAATTTTAAATGCATAGATTTCTTATGACCTGTGCATCTGGATTTGTTTACCGTTGCTTCACATAGGGCGAATTTTACGTTTTTGCTTGTGCAAACAACCCGTGTAATATGGCATCCATTTTGGATAATTTCGACATTCTAGATGGAACAATAAAGTTTGTTTTGCGAACGGGCGACGTTGCCACAGTAGATCATCTTTTTTGACCGCCTTTGTTTGATTCGTGCATGATCGACTCTTTTGAGGTGAACGTCCGAAATTCATCGGTGCGATCTATTTCGTAATTAGACGAATTTGGGTTGATTTTGACCATGATCGAGGGGTTACAAGCTCACTACATGCAATCTCGTGTCCTTCGTTTGTCTTCTTCAATGCGCTCTATTGATTGTGGAATGCATATAGAATCAACATTATCATAATTAGTTGGCATCAAATTTATGAATTTTGTTTTTTCATTCTTTTTTTTTAGTGCTGCTTGAGGTATTAAGTATGCATTTGCGTATATCTTTTTGCCCAATTCCTATTCCATGTTAATTTTAGTCTTTTAATTTTCCTTCTTAATCCTTTCATATATGGTTTCACTAATACAAAAATGTAGATCAGTTTGGTTAGGTTTTGTTTTGTTTGATTTTTGTTTGCAATTTTGCTTAAACTATTTAGTTCGAAGTGGAACTGACTTGAATCATATGAAAACATGGAGTATCTTGAGCCATTAAATAAACATAAATAGTTCATTCTATAGCATACAAATGATTAATCCACTTAAAAGAAAACCAAATTGAGCTGAACTTAACAAGTAAATTGATTTAAATTGAGCAAAACTAACATAAATCATAACATTTTTAAGTTGCTCTTGGTAATCAAAAATCAACCCTAGTATTTCTGTTTCTAGTTTTAGTTTGGTTCGATTCAGTTCCAAACCAGGATCATTTTGGAACAAAACCAAACCATACCCTACCTTAATTACATTAGTTTTCTCTATTTCTTTGAGTATCGCCTAAGATGTTTAAACTCACCATCCAGAAAATTTCATGGTCAACTTTCTTTTGAAATCAATAATTATTTCCACTTGTTTAAGAAGTTTTGGAGAGTGCTATAAAACTAGCTATGGTTTAATTTCCCATCTAGAAGATAAATGTGGCTCTACTTTGTAGGCACAAATAAGTTTTGTATTCTTTGTATTGATCTGATTGAATTCATATATCATAGTTTTTATTCGCCACAAACACAAATCTTAACGAATTGTGCTGTGATGTCTCAAATTAAAAAATCAGCAAGTATTTTCTTCATATTTCTTAGGTGATGAGTTGCCTGTAGATTGGGACAAGGCTTGGTCAAGCTTCAGGAAGCGGGGAAAGAAATCATTTTTCTCACAGTTCAAACTAGACAAATATGTCAGCTGGAATCCACAGCGATCAGAATATCCCTTGTCCGAGGAGTTCGATCCTATAAAGAGAACAGAGAGGTCAAATCTAACGTTATGGACAAGCCCAATTTTCACTCTGGTAGGGGCCATCCTCGTGGTTTCTTTGCTTCTAATTTACACACTTCAGGCCCCACTGAAGTAGCTACATTCTGCTTCATTTCAAAGCTCACATTCTGAAAATTTATTTGCCATAAATATCATTAGAAGTGTGCATGCATATTGTATTCAAGCAGTTCAGTACTTTTGTATATGTCACTGTTATTACTTGAATGTTGAGTATGTTATGTTTAGGAAGATGACCCATCATTTTAAAGATATATATCAACTTGTCAGTGAGAGATTTATTGACGATATTCTATGAACTTCAGTTTTTCTATTTGCATGATGACCTGATTCTTTGGTTCTTCAATTTGACATATTATCGCAGATTGTAAGATTATAGATTTGTGTATTCATTGTATGCTCCATTTATTTGGAATATGTAGTTGTGTGTTTGTATTTACTCACAATTTACTCTGCGTGATTGGAGTAAATAATGAGTACACAGCTATGCACTCCTAACACAACGAGTATATAAATCTGTGCTCAAAAACATGTGGCCCTCCTTTTGCATGTAAAATTGTGCATGTACAAGAAAGAGATGTGTATAAAAACTTTGAAATTATTTTCTGATTTAACAAATTAAATGACAAATGAATTTTCATGTCAAGATTTATGCAATTATGGGACTAACTTTTGTGGGCTCAGAAAATTCGCGTCCTGGCCTACCTTGCTTTCAGGCGAGTTTTAATGAATTAGGTTTCGGGGTAAATTTTCAGAAGACAGATTGGATTTGAAATAAGACACTACCCAGAGATTTCGCTCTCATTTTACTAAGACTTTATGCATCTAAGTTCTAGTTTCTTATAAGCGCAAGCCTCTATAGTTAATTACCCCTCCTAATAATGAGAGAAATTTTTTTATTAAGGCTAGTCGTCAAAATAGATACGTAGAAATACATAGTATATGGTGTATAGTAGCAGCATGGGTTTGGGTATTTGAATATTTAACATTTAAAATTAGCAATTTATCCATCTTGCACTTAAAGTGGATGGTGGGGGAATGGATGATGGACCAATCAAGATCCCATGGTTTCGTCATTCTGGGCCATCATGGTCCCTGGTTTACTTAGTCAGAGAAGGTAGTCGACCCAACCTGATAGAAGGATTCTTTTCGCCAGCCATGGGTTGCTGCGTCCAAGGGTATCTTATAGACCTGGGGAAAGTATTTGTCTAAGGGGACAAATTTGAACCCACCTTAGATAACAAAGGGTTTTGTGCCATATCGATCATATCCTATTGATTCATGTCCTAAGGATTTAGTGTCGTTGGAGAGCATGCGGGCTTTGGCCATGACCATTATTTAGTGGTTCCATTTGACGTCAAACCACCCGGTTCAGAAGGCCCCGGTCATAATCGTTTACCTGCAGTGCCACTTGGCGGCAACACCGCCGGTTAGAGTACACGTGCCACGTCCATGCTTGCAAGAGACTGTTTGAGAATGAATCTTATTGATATTCTTAACCAGACATTAGCTCTTTGTGAACTGAAGTGATATTTAAATTTGTCCACCTCGGTAAACTATTGCGGAGGTTGAATGAGATTTGCTTTATGTATTTTATAATTGAATTTCGATTTTAAACATTTTGAAATTCGATATTTTTGGAGTTTTGAATTTTGTAGGAAGTTTGAAGGTGTTCACTTAAATATTTGGGATCCCCTTTGTTCCAGGATTGATGCTTCTTTTAGCAAGCAGGCTGTTTTGATGCAAATCTTTTAGTGCTGCCCGTAGGCATTTGTATTTGCTATCGTTCCTCTACATTTACTTGTAGGAAGCATCTAGTATGTACAGTGGATCTTCTTATAGTGGCTCGTAAATGTTTTTATGCAATGCAGATATCTAATATCTGTTTGTAGATGATACATTGTGTGTATCTGTGTTCAAGGAGGACCCGTCATCCTCATAAAGCATCTATTGTTGCCGCTAGCATGAATTATTGTATTTGTTTATATGGCTGATGTGAGCATTACACCTCAACTATCATCATTCGTATGTAATTTGCAATATTGTTATTGTTTAGGAATTTTGTACATCTGGTTTGGAAACAAATTATATATTCCCTCCTATTATTTGCAAGGTCAAACGCGCTTGCTTGTATTTTGATGTTGATTGCAAGGCATTATCATATTCATAGCATGCTCTTCATGTTCATTGCACATTAATTTTCAACACTTCTAGGGGGCTGTAGCCTTTATCTGCTAATTGATCAGTGCCACTTGCAGAGACATCATATCATTCGTTGTATGACTCTTGGATTCATTTATATGTTGGCAGGCTATTGTATTCACTTGTATGCACTTCACTGTCGTTCATGAACACTCACAAGTCTCCCATAGTTATTTATTGGGGATTGTCATTTTCCTTCACTAACTAGTTGATGTTGACTGCAGGGATATTGCAACGTTGATTGCATGTTAACATGGGTCGCCGGGTGAGTTATATCCATCACCAATTCCTTCATACATGTTGACTGACGAATTGCTGCATTCGTCATCAATTTCTTTATGCATATCGACTGGTGAGTTGTTGCATTCACTTACATATTGATTATACATTATTTGCCAATTCATGTTTGGCATTTTATTCATCACTCATCGATATTTGTTTGAACACTTCAAATCATTATTTAGCATTTTGTATTTTCATTTTCATTATGCATTTTAAAGCTTAAAGTTCAGTCCAGTTCACTGCATCATATTCAAGTTTGCAAGTCCCCTGTTCAAATTCAAGTTTGGTTCTTTTTCAAATGTTCAAATTCAATTCCTTTATAATTCATTTAAGTCCCCTGTTTAGTTCTTATTTCGGCAGCCTCCCGGCATCACCCTCATTTTGGGGAAATTAAAGGAGCCTTAGCATGCCCTCCATGCTAAGAAAGACATGCACGGTCGGTGTCGGGTGACACCGTGATTGTAGTCTTCAATCCCACCATGCCAAGAAAGGTGTGCATGGGTCTTCGAGGGTTCCTGTTGAAGGCGCACAATTCTTCCCTTTCGGCACTGAGGCGTGTACGGGTACTTAGATTTTGCCCTGTCACGCTAAGAAAACCGTGTACAAGGCTCGCCCGCTTCGCCATAAGCGCCGCATCGAGTTTCCTTCCACCATTCTAAGAAAAGCGTGTGTGGTCCCCAGCACATTGTAATCGTCGAAAGTGGACTTTGGAGTTTTTCGAGTTTGAAACATTATACATGCACGACATAGTGGTGGCGACAACAAGGATTTATAAAATGTTCCCCTTCTTTCTTGACATTTTTTCTCTTTTTTTTTTCTTTCTTCTCTTTTTTAAAAAAACTCATTTTTTTCATTTTTTTTTTACCGATGTGTGTGTGTCTATATATATACATGTAAAATTAATAATGATAATATAAGTGCTTATTAATTTTAGCTAATAAGAGAACTAATAACACTAATTATATTAATTGGTAATGACAATTAATGCTAATAACACAAGATAACATAACAATTAAAAAAAAACCTACGGTTAATCGAGGTGACTTTGCTGTTGGGATAGAGGAGGAATTGATAGGTTTGTGTGGTGAAGAGAAGTTGTGATGGTTGAAATGGGTTTGAGAAGACTTGGAAAGATGGGCTTATGAGCTGTTTCAGGTTAATTGGGTGAATATTGTGGGCTGTTGGAGGCCTGGTTTGACAGGTGTAAGGGTTTTGAACGAGAGAGAAGGGTGGGTTTAGTCGGGGCAAAATTTTGGAAACAAGCTCGTTTAATGTGACATTTAAGGGAAGGAGCAGGTTTTTTAAATAATTTTAAAAGCATCAAATACGCTGTATTGTTTAGCGTATTTATTGAATGCGCCATTATAATGGGCGCATTCAAAGAATGCGCCATTTGATTAGGCGCATTCTTCATTTTCACAAACAATACGCCCTCTACTCCGGCGCATTCTTTGAATTTATTAATTTTTGTTATATGCAATTTCATTTTTCCATTTTCAATGCAACCCGTTATTGATTGGGCTGAAAAACATGGTAATGGAAGAGCTTTTTTTTGTTTTTCAGTGCCATGATAATATCAGTTTGTCTTTTTTTTTTTTAATATATTCCTGTGTTTTTTTTGAAGGTACTGCCGGATGACTTCCTCTGCTTTTTTGCTTTTCTTTGTTTATCAAGTGTTTTTTAGTTAGAGAAAGAAAGGAAGAGATAGAGACAGAGTTATGGAATAAACTCACCATATGATTGGTTTTTTGTAAAAATTTATCAAATTATTTACAAAAATTATAGCATTAAGACTTAAAATATTTTTTTTATAGTTATGTTAAAAATAATTTGAATGAATGAAAATAATAAAGGTATATATTCATTTTGTAAGAAAAATTTTTTAAGGTTAGTGAAAATTTTTTAGTAGAGAGAATTTGTTAGTAGAGGAATTTTTTTATTGTAGAGGTAATTTTAATGTTAAGAGGAATTTTTTTTGAATATTTGTATTTATAAGAAAATTGTAATATTAAATGCAATATAAGTTCTATACAAAGTTAAATTACACAAAATAAAATAAAATATAATAAAGTTTATAATATATTTATGAAAAAACTAGAACTATTTGAGGAGTATCAAAAATTCTGGGTGGAATCGTTAGGATATGTCGAATATATTTTTTAGGTAGTGTGGGGTGAGAATGATTGACAAATAAATTTAAATAAATAGATGGAGAAAACATTAAAATTGATTTTTTTCAAAAAAAAAAATTTCTATGATTGAGTAATTATTGTGTGAAGAAAATTATGGATGTTGTAAAGGATCGGCAAATAATTTTTTAGAGAATTTGCAATTGAATTAGTGCGAGAAATTATTAACACAAATTGATGAAACTACAGGATAAGTTCAGTAATAAAAAGGAAGACATATGATAAGAATTGAGCAAAGGTAAACAATTTATTATTACATTTGGCTCAGAACTATGCGCATACGCGCTTGGAGTTGGGTAAGAGTTGGACAGCATAAGAATTTTGCGGTGAACTGCTGTTGGATGTATTGCCAATCTTTTATGTTTAGAAACTCCTTTTTACCATCTAGAATATTCAGCTGTTGATATTTTTCTGATAGAAATGTATCTTGAGTAGTATGCCACATTTTATAAAGAATACAATGTTGCACATCGGTTATTGGATTCTCAGCGTTGACCACAACAGAACCATCTTTTTTCTGTGTGATTTCATTAATTCTTGTACTAAGAATAGTTATAGGAGCAAAATGACCAATATGATCCGTAAACCTTTGTCGTACAAATTTCCAGCCCATATCAGTAATTGTTTCTCCATCCACATACATGGG